AGATCGAGTTATCCTTCATAGGATCCTCTGCCTTCACCCTGTCGCTCTAATGATAACACATATTGGATTACGAATCTAGTCACGGTAACTTCGCCTGCATATGAGTCACAATATGTTCGATATTATTGAACCGAAATAATGGTAGTAATATTGATGCAGAAGCTATAGTTGTGATTGAAAATTATCCGGAAAGGAAAAGTTTGATTGGTTTTGCCAGATTTATGATACGGATTTGGATTAGATAAAAGATTAATATTTCAAAATACATTATGAAAATTTTAGTAGTTACAAGTTTCATATTTAACTATGAAAAGTATCTTAAATAAACTGCTCATCGATAAAATGATGTCCTTACTATATTTTCCCATAAGTGCATTCGGATCATCTTTATTGATCTCACAGAAGTTTTTCAAGATCACTTCTTCTCTGTGTCCATTATCGTCCGATTTTTTTGTCGTGCAACTCTAGAGTGAATCTTTATGAGAAGTTTAAGAGAGAATTGTCTTAATCCTTCGTTGCAGCGAATCCATTAGAAGCATCTATTATTCATGGGCATACAGACTGTGGCTTCGCGCGGATGTGGTAGCTTTAAATGACATATCTAAGAGATGGTCTATGGAAGAAGCATATTAACCTTAACTGGTTTTTGTTAGAAAATAATGATCTATTAATCCAATATTTGGATTATTGTAAAATTAGGTAGACAGATGAATTAGTTTAGAAAACCACATCTGCATTTTGGCGAATGTTATAGAGTAAGGTTTTGATAAATCCAATTTATCGATTATGCTATAATTCATGCGATTGATTACAAAAATCCAGCATCCGATCCGTTTCGATGAGACTCTTCTTATCTTCTCAGGGAATTTAACACATCGTCAATCTTGGTAGTACACGGTCATAAACAAACTCGTGTCATACAGTATGTCATATTATTGCTGGTTCTTATTATATGGCGATATGAGTTTACGACCGCAGTCAGTCGGTCTTCTGCGAGTCGTCAAATCCAAAGCTTCGAAGTTTAGCATTTTCGTATTTGCGAACAAAATATCGGTGGTAACGTCATGTTTCACATGATGATTTCGTGCTGGTTTTATAGATACTTCGGTGTAATCGCTTGTGCTGCTGTAGGAAATTTTACCAGTAGCAACGGTAAAGAGATTGTCGACTTATGGAACGAAGGATGGGTGTTGAAAATATTAAAATGTATGTGAATTTTTATGCATATCTTGATATAATGAGACTTTCATTATGCACAAATGTTCCTTAACAAACATTTAAAAAAAAATTGTATGAAATATTTTGAATTTTTTATAGCAGTAAGTAATAGCTAACACCTAACTTTCAACTTATTTGTTAGATAAAGCGTAATAAATTTGTATAGTATATTTTTTAAAATAAATATTTCTGATTCTTGAAATAGATGTATCGACATTTATTCAACTATTTTCATCCCCATGTCTCAGAAATCCCTACGCTATACGGAAGTATGAAAATTTGTGTGTCGAGGTTCTTGTGGATCAGATAGGAGTTATGGATTCTTCGAGTATTTGACACAGTTCGTAATAATGTCGATGTGTTACATTGTGACACAATCTATTGAATATTTTGACTTTGTGTGGAACTTGGTTTTGATATGTTACAGAATATCTGCAGAAATTTGAATAATTGACATTAAAGAACGACGGGCGATATAGGTCAATGCAACTTTTTAATTTATGTTTGGTACTCTTTTTATAGAGTTGTATGGTTTGTGTATATCGATCCATTCTTCATTTTTATTTTATGCTCAAGATTTATTTTATTGTATGACCATTTTTCACTGCCATATTACAATATTTTTCTCCATAATTTTCCCAAATCTACATTGTATTCAAGGCGTGTTTCGATGATTCTCTCTGAACTTCGGGGTTTCCATATAGTCGAATTCAAAGCAATCTCTCGCCGTGTGTGCTCGTTCACATAATAATACATAAGTCATTACAAATTTATTACGCGTTCTCTAAGTTAGTGTTAGCTATTACAACTTCGGCGACGCCATAGTTTCTTCATTGTTTATGCCTTTACACACCAGTTTTCAATAGCATTATTGCAAAACTTTTAATACGAAAATCTCTTCAGTGTAAACTTCGCCGTGAAACCATTTTGTAATCTCGGCAGATATGTATTTTATGTACTTGTGCTTATTGTCAGATAAAATATATAGTTGCATACGTATGGAACATTTGCTATAGTAAATTATATTGATCATATACTTATTGATAGAATTTCAACAATGATTATTCAGAAAGTAGCCTAAAATTTGCAATCACTGGATAACTGTCTCGAAATCACTATGAATTTGTGCTCTTGTATATAAATTAAATTTAAATACATAGAACAATATACAGCAAATTTAATTCAGCAAGTTTCAATCAACATTTTCTTCATTTTGAATAAATTTTTGGGCATATATAGTTTAAGTGAAAGCTAGATCATTGGTTCTCTTGTAAATACACTGGAAATATGATTATTGCAATCTTATCAACTAATTTATTACAAATCCTTAGCAGATCGTTCATTTTAAGAAAATCCTCATCCTAATTTTGAAACCAGATGAGACAGATGTTGTTCAATCGATATGCCACTACACAAATATTTTTTAAATTATAAGATCAGAGTTTCTTAAACTTTTGTTTAAGATTATTTGAGGTTGCGACTTATAGTTTATGAAGCTCTGATTTAGATAATTATGTTTCTGTGAAAAACTTTGTAGGAACCATCTATTTCTATGACGTATTAGGTTCTTACTCGTATAATAGATATAAATTGCCTAATCCATTGTGTGGCATTTGAAAACAATTAAATTAAAGGAATTGAAGCTAAACACAAATAGTAAGTATAATTAAACTTATTTTTTTGTAACTTCAATTTAAATAAATCAATCGTTAAATATCAAAAAGTGAATATACACCATTCTGGAATCTACTTACAAATTACATATAATTTGATTATAATACCAGTATAGTTTCATACTAAATATCATCGAAATTGTTTCAAGCATTTAGGAGAACTCCAATAACCTAAAGAGTTATAGGAGAAATCTTCTGATGTCTTATACATATTATTCTTGGCAGGAATAATATTGATAATTTCATTGATCAGTATTTTGTGATTTTCTGAGAAAAATACTTTATGAACTTGATTTCTAAATTATGATGAGTTGAACATCGTTACAATTATAATTAAAATTTGATGATACTTCTTATCTATAATCTATAATTAATAATCTGATGTATTGAAATGTTCGCATCGTTAAAATTTGGAATCGTCTTGAGACGTAGACTAATTCAATTTACAATTCAAATAGATACACCATGCAATAGATTACGGATTGTAAATTCAAAGAGCAATTGTAAGTCGCACTAGATGCAGTTAACAAGCTAACTTGTCCAACAACTGAAACGGGTACGTAATGCCTAGTCAGTTGCTTCACTTAAACAGTCTTGCAATATTCAGTCTGTAATCGGTTCCAAATTCCACCATTTCAATCAACTAAGGTCGACTCCTTGTCACAAGATATTGAATATTTAAATTGCTACAATTCAATTGAACACCGCGGGTAATACAATTAAGATGAGATATTCCCCCAGACTGAGAGAATATATATAACTTTTGTGTAATATTTTATACCGCTCGCATTATAAGTTGATAATGATAATTAATTATCGTTCTTTACAACACTTTATGCTCTATTTATTTACATTTTCAGGAACGTTATATTTCTTTTGCACATCATAAAAATAATACTTTTACGACGTTCAAGATTTATGATTCCCCGTCGGCCAGCCGTATACCGCGAGGGAAATATTATACGTAGGTGCGCGCACAATTCGAAACTCAATCGCATCCTATTTCATTAATCACCTGATATCGTGACTTATTGTGCGTCGGAGCATGTTTTCTTCATTTTGCCCACTTGGGGAGAGGGTTATTTCTTTAATACATATTTTCTTGTATTTTGATAGCGGCCGCCCGCCGGGCGCGCAATCTTAATTATGCGCTTATATTGCGATAAGCATTACCTACAACTAATAATGTTTATCGGAAAAAGCTCCTTTTAAATACTCTACGAGCTTTTTACCGCGCGTGACATGCTAATTCACACGTAGTTAATACTTCTAGACGAGCTTTTGTGTGCTGACTCGATTAAAATGTTATGCTGGAGTAAGTAAAAGTAGATTATAAGAATTCCTGAACGTTATGGTTTGCGTTGTTAACGTATCTTTACAAGTTCAACATATTGTTCTTATCAAAATATTTAAGGAAGTAATTGAGAAACTATTAATAATATATTAAGGTCAAAGATAACATTAGTTAATTTACTGTTAAAGTTTCGACAACCTTCAAAACACCATTCGGTATAATGAGGGACGATAAAATCTATTATAAAATTTAGTATCAATCCATTTATTATTGATAAAAATATTGTTATTATGAATTGAAAAATAATACATTTATTATAATTAATTATTTATTATTTATAATACAAGAATTTTATACATCTATCCTAAAAGTACAACAAGTACAAGTTAAATAATAGGAAATAGGCTTTAAAAATGCAAAAACGTTTGACCAATTCAGTGACCTGATTTAATATATAATGAATTTGTTTTTCAATCTTGCTCTGATAGTATTTGGGTGATCTTTGAGGCGGCTTTTGTATTTGTCTGAATAAGTTTGTGTTTTATAGATTAACAAATTGAGATCATTTTTTGGGGCATCCATAGTTTCTTTAAATAGTTTATTTTGGCATCTTTGAATTTTTTCAGAAACTGATTCCCATAGTTGTATACCATAGGTCCAAATTAGTTAAATGATGATTTTTCATAGGTAAATTTTGTTGTAAATTAAAAAATATAGTGATAAAAAATAATTATTAGTATAATTTTATACATATATTTATTACACCATTTTTCATCATCTGATTATAATCTAATTTTATTCTTTATCTTTTCCAGGGATCGAGTATACAGACTCAACCTCGGCAATATCAGCAACTCGTTTTGTGAG